GACCAGTTTGCACCGCGAACAGAAGCTCCCGCCTTCCACTGAGGCTCAGAGGATCTCAACAAAGCGGCCACACGCTCAAGGCCCCGTCAGAAGAGAAGACTGCAGCCGGCGGCAGGAAGAGCTTCTTGGGGGGGGGGAGTTGGCCTTAAAAAAAAAATAAATTATGCAAAAATCCACATGATAGCTGGGGTGGGGACTGGTGCTTGGCACCACACCTTGGGAGCAATATCCTGGTTTTGCACATCACCGGGAATGGGTGGGGCCACACTTGAAGGCTGTCAATTGTGGAATGGTTGATCTCCAGACAGGTCACTAAAACTGGCTGCCCTAACGGGAAAGAACCCACCATGGGACGGAGGCGGGAGCCAGCTAGCCTGTGGTGTCTGTTTCCAGGGGTCGGAGGAGGCCGGCAGTAAAGGGGGAATGATCCTGTGTGGGGAGGGGGAGGCCTGCTCAGGAAGGACCAGCCAGGCCTCTGGAAAGAGAAGTCCCATCTCCCCAGACTTGGGGCTTCTGGAGAAGTTCTGATGGATTCTGAATCAATTTACCCAATCTGCGATCAGTCTGCAAGCATCTAAAGGACAACTTGGTGATCCAGGGAAGTCAGCACGGATTTGTCCCGAACCGGTCCTGCCAGACCAACCTCATTTCCTTCTTCGATGGAGTGACGAGCGTACTGGATCGAGGGAATGCTGCTGATGTTGTTTACCTGGGTTTCAGTAAAGCTTTTGACAGGGTTCCCCATGTTGTTCTGGTGGGTAAAGGAGCAGAGTGTGGACTGGACTCTAGGACACTCTAGGTGGCTAGGGAACTGGTTGGAGAACCACACTCAGAGAATACTTGTCAGTGGCATTTCATCTGAATGGAAGGAGGTGTCTAGTGGGGTGGGTGCCACAGAGCTTGGTTCTGGGCCCGGTACTGTTTGATATCTTTATAATCTGGATGAGGGTGTGGAGGGGCTACTCATTAAATTTGCAGATGACACTTAATTGGGAGGAGCGGTGAACCACACCAAAAGACAGAGATAGAATTTAATGAGATCTGAACATGCTGAGAAAGTGGGTGAATGTGAACAAGATGCAATTAACTAGGATAAGATCTTTGGGTACAGGTGGGCTGAAAGTTAAATATGAGCAGCCAGTGTGACGCGGTGACAAAAAAAGGCTAATGCAATCTTGGGGTGTATCAACTAAGGCATAACATCCAAATCACAGGATGTCCTAATCCCACTGCACACTGCATTGGACAGGCCGCACCTGAAGTATTGTGTGCCGCTCTGGAGGCCTCACTTCAAAAAGGACGTGGACAGAATGGGGCGGGTGCAGAGGAGAGCGACGAGGACCATCAGGGGCCTGGAGTCCAAGAAGCCCTCTGAGGAAAGGCTGAGGGACTTGGGAAGGTTCGGTCTGGAGAAGAGGAGGTTGCGGGGGACATGACTGCTCTCTTTTAAGTATTGGAAGGGCCGTCACTTAGAGGAAGGCAGGGAGCTGTTCGTGTTGGCGGCAGAGGAGAGGAGCTGCAATCATGGGCTTAAATTAAGGGCGGGAAGGTACCGGCTGGCTCTTGGGAGAGACGTTTTGACAGTTAAGAGTTGTGCCCACAGTGGGATCAGCTGCCCCTCCCTGGCCGTCTTTAAGCAGCGGCGGGACAAACACTAGCCAGGGATGCTCTAGGGGGCTGATCCTGCACTGAGCGGGGGTTTGCTTGATGGCCTCTAGGGACGCCTTCCAACTCGGCGTGATTCTAGGATTTTACCCACCGTGTGCTAATGAGAGAGAGCGCATCTGTCCTCCTCGCGTGGATCTACGTAGAAGCTGGCCGGAGGACAGGGACACGCCCTCGGAGCCCCCCTGCTGGAGCCGACTAAGAAAGGGTCCCTCCAGTCCGGGAACGGCAGGGGGTGTGTGTGTGTGTGTGTGTGGCGGTGGCAGGCTCAGAGGTCTGGAGGGGCAGGACCAGGGGCGAGTCCACCGGGGGCCCCCTCTGCGACCAGCAGAGCTTAACTCTGGGCAGAAGCGCTCGTGTGCACCGGAGAGCCGCGACCCAGGACGAGACCCCGCCTGCCGGACGACTCAGACTCAGCCCTCGCTCCGCGCCGGAGAGTACTGGAGGCCCGAGAGTAAGACGGGCGAGACCACAGAAGTCTGCGGCGGGGCCTCGTTCGGAG